GGGAGGCAGCTTGCCCTCCCCAGCCTTGGGGTAAAAAAAAAACCAAACCAAAAAACAATTCAGCCCCTATTTGTAAGAGCAAAGTATTTATTTTATTAAAGAGCGAAAATGTCGTCTTTCGCGAAAGGTAAGCTGATGTGCTTTGTAATTTTTTTTGACTCTTCAGCTGTGTTTACGTAGATCTCTGCTTTTTTCTTTCTTCTCTCCTTTCCAGCAGCCCGGTCGAGCACAGGCGGCGGTAGGTGTAGCAGCCTGATCGGCAGCCGAGTTGCGATGTGCAAGGGCTTCCTCAAAGTGTTACTCGTTATTTGGCAGCGGGGCCTCGGCCGGTTCGGCTCTGCTCGGTTTGCTTACCTCGGTGGATGTGTGGCTCTCTTGTGCGGTACAGGCGCACGGTGAAACTGGGCGATTGTAGCGGCAGGGCTCCCGTCCACGGCTGATGCACAGGCAGGATCTGGAGTATACAGGGGGATCTTGCAAGTGCAAATCTCCCCCCTTCACGAAGAGGTCTGTTAAAGTTGGGGGAGAAAGAGCACTGAGGTCGAGCGTCTACGCTGTTTTTTCACAGGCTTGAGTGTGTTTTGGCATTTTCTGATCCCGGTAGGCTTCGGCGCTCTCCTTTACTCTCCGCATATGTGAGCGTGTGTGTACGTGGTCCAAGTTTCAGATTCTTTTATTGCAAAACAGGGAACCAGCCCACAAGAGGTCATTTCAGGAGGAAAAATTACTTTGGTGCATTGCTGTGGCAGTTTTATTTTCCTCCTTTCCAGTATTTCTAATGGTGCCTGTGTGCTTTTTGTAATGAAATCCGTGCCTGTAGGTTTCCTTAATATAAATCCATGTAGGCCTATCAACAAATGTAACACTGCCTGTAGAAAGGACAGGAGTAGGTCTTTTGCTATATGAACTCGGATGTTGCAGGAAACCAAGGGCCTTCGCAGGCTTTGGGAAATCGCCGTCGCTCACCCAGTGGATGCCTAGGACTGTGCGACACTTGCTGTGTAAATGCATCGACTGTCCGCAAGTATCCTGTGGCACCTGGGCGAAATGCAGAGAGCTGAAGGGGGGAAAGGTTCCAGCCACATTGCTCAATCGGCTGCTCTGAAAGTTGTCAAGATAAGCCCCTTCTTGCTGTGAAATATATTACGAAAATATGTTCTGAATTGTTCTTATTAAATGGAATTGGCTTATCTCAGCCTACTGTTGAAGGTAGCCATCTTGCAAGCAAGTGATATTATTTTAGAAATGGAAAGCTGGAGAAACCTATGTAAAGATCATAACCAGTTTTTAAAATATGACCAAGGATTTGACAATCCTAAAAGCTTTTTTAAAAAAAGCATCCACCATTTAAGTGCTCTTTTATCAAGCCAATAGTACTAAAACATGTTGCCAATGTCAAGTGATATTTTTAGCATGAGGATCAGCTGCTAGAATGAGAAATCCAGCTGTGTCTGACCGTAACACCTAAACTCTTCGTGTGCGCAGCTGGCAAGAGCGGCTTCCTAGGTTGCAAACTTCTGAGTTAGCTCAGGCTAATGTGCTCATCCGTTAAGGAGAGAGGGAGTGTATAGGTTTCACTTCATGTATGCTTCAGTCCAGCTGTGTTGACAAATTTTGCCTCTAGTAGTAGGAAAAGAAAAGCTGTTTGTAAAGGTTGAGTGGGTATGTTCAGTTCTAAAAATCAAATGAAGTAATATTTACTAGCATTTCGCGTTATAGTGTGGGTATTTAAAGAGATTTTTATCCTCATCAGGGATAAAAATTGCCTTGAACTTTCAGCGGAGTTGGTGGAAGTTAAGGCATTCAGTCTGTACCCTCAGCACAGAGTTCAAGGATAGAGCATTTAAAGTTGTGTGTTTTAACTTAGTGGCCACCCTTCTTGATTTTTTATGCAAGTAGTCTGGCTCCAAGGAGACCTAAATAATTTTCTGCTGTAGGTCTTTCTGTATATACTTGGATTGCAAAAGTGTTTACAATTCATAACCCTCGGCCCAAAAGATTTTTTCATGAGAGAGAGGACTTCTTGCTTGACTTGTCCCACGACTCCCTCCTGTGCTGGGTCCTTGTATACCGAGTACCAAGGCAGTGAAGTTCTCTTCTGAGCAAATTAATGAACAAAACTAGTCCTTCTCCGCTTTTAATGTAGAATAAGAGGAGGGACGGCAGAAAGGAAATACGTGCAAACCCCTAAGGGGTCACCGCTGTTCTGTTCTTGTGCACTTTTCCTGAGGACATCTGTCCTTTATTTTTTTTCCGATAGTGTGAGAAGACCTCCTTTTTATTAGCTTGATCTGATTTATCATGTTTTGTTTTTTCATATGTCAGTTATAAAGTTATGTATCATAAACCTGCAAATACTCTGCCACATGCAGCAGTTCACGCTGTGAGGGCAGGGGGCAGGTTAGCAGTGAGCGCAGAGCACAAAAGCGTGCTACAAATTACAATGGGGGCAGGAGGGTTTGAGTGAAACTCTCCACGCATCAGACACCACCGTGAACTTGAAAGCTCTCCTTTCTCTGCTACTTGAGGAAGCACTTTCTACTGAAGACACTAAAATAAGATATCCTGGGTGGTCATTTTTGCAAAGCCCAGTATTTTCTGAAGCCTCAACTATTTAGTCATGCTCTTCTGTTCTGTGCTAATTTCCTGCGTGGGCCAGTCCCCCGAGAGTCTTCCACTACCTTATCCCACCCTTTTCTTCCTTCAGATGAGTGTTCAAGAATGCTGATCCCATAAAAGTGGGCTTAGGCTGAAATCTGAGGCATTGGTTGCGAAATAGCTTGGAAGAGGCATTTCTTTTTAAAACTGATCTGGGAGTTTATGGCCGCATGTACCCTTGGAAATCTCTTCCTGCAATTATCCAACACCCCTGCTTCCCATCTGATTTTTAGAGGCGCAGTAACTACTTTTCATTATAGCCTTAGGAAATTTTACTTGCCTGTAGGAAATAACTGCTTTCAGATATGCAGTTGCACTGGCCTTTCTACATCCTTGTTGCTGTCAGGGAGAAAAGGGAAATAAATCTGCACCCAGGCTGTTAAATTTAATAGTAGCTCATGTTAAAGGACTGCAGTTGTCTTTCTACTAGTAGTAGGCTGGGGTGCATAAATATCAGCTTCTTCCCAAAAACTCTGAGGGGCAGCAACACAGGAACAACTAGTACTGAGTTCATTTATGTTTGGAGCGGATGCATCGATGCTGCTGTTATCGTCTTGCTTTGGGGAGCCTTTAGGAGTGCCATAGATCCCTGTCCAGTCCAAATCCTGGCGGACGTCTCAAGATAAATGCTGAGAAGCCTGTGCCTTGCAATGGCACAGTAAAAGCAGAAAAGCTTGGAGTTGCTATTTCTCTTGGCTGCTTAGTTACAGTATTCAAATTCTTATGTATGCAGAGTAGATACTTTTCCTGCACCAGGCAAACGCATGTTTTATGGACTCCAGCTGTGTCCTTCCTCTCTCTTTCCCCAACATAATAATAATAAATAATAATAATAATAGCACTAGTAATGCTAAAAACAGGCAACCGTGCCCTGGCATGTTGAATCTGCATGAGACCGAGTGGTTGCAGTAGTCGTTAAATGGTCAATGTAAAGCCTAAATATTCTCTGTTGCCAATGAAGGGTGCAGCCATCAGCGCTGGTAGCTTTGGTGGTCTGAATTTCGGTAAGAAATGTCCCATCTAGCTGGCTGGTCTGCGTGCTTGACACTTGGTGTTTGGGAAAAGCAACAGGTTTGCTTTGCTTCTCTGCGAGGAGGTTGGTGGACAAATGCATTTAGCATTTGCTCATTAAGTCGTGGAGAATTTATCGTATTATAAAAAAACCCAACAGACTAGGATATTATCACGCATTTACTTTTATGATGGCTTTTTCTTTTGATTCGTTTGTGACGTTACTTAATCTCTAAATGCTTTTATCTGGTAGATATAAGTCTTTTGGCTAATATGAGCGAACAAGATTTTCCTACTTAGATGGCAGCCTGGGAAAGGTGCTAGCTGGCTCTGCCTTACTTAGCCTCAATGTGTTTAACAGCACGAATGATGGTCTCTGAATACTTGATATTTGCAGAGTTTCTTCCGAGATGCATTGCGTCATGTTGGGAGGTTCACGTGTTTTACAGGCTGATGAACTGTGAGAAATGGCCACCGTTGTTGCTGTAACAGAAGTCATGTATTACAACATGTCACAGGGAGGATTACAAACATCTGACAGTATCTCCTAGCAGTTGTTTCTCTGGAAGTTTAAACAGTGTTTCAATACGCGTCAACCCAAAATGTGTGAATGAAAAGACAGTACTTGCAGCAGTTCGGTATGAAAGTATCAAGCTGGTATAGACCTCCTCATTTTTCTGTAGGAGGAGGTGCTTCCTAATGAAGAGATGTCTGTGTTACGACATATTTGACCTGGAAAGATACGCCTAACAGGCTTTCAACTACTACCTGTGTTAACTATTAAACGAAGCATTTGATTAAAAAAAGAACCTATTGCTCATTGTACCGCTCATCCTGAGCTGGCGTTTCCCCTGTGTTGCACCACCACAGTGTGTGCACTGCAGCACTTGTCTGTCTGTTTCTTTTTTTTTTTTCTCCTCCCTCCCCTCCCCTACCTGCAAAACAGTGCAGTCAGGAAAATGGCTTCTGTGGGCTTCAAAGCAAGGATTAGATACTGTCACTGAGTCTGAGGAATACTCTGCTTAAAAAAAAAAAAAAAAAAAAAAAAAAAAACTGTATTAAAATGAACTGCCTCTGGCTTTCTTAGACATTGTCAATAGAATAGCCTTTTAATGCATGTTCTGAATAAGTAAGCTTTAAACGCAGGTTCCTCTTCTAACAATATTTTCTGGTGGTATCACTGTTCACTTGCAAAGTTTCCTCTCATCCCTTTCTGCATTAGTATTAGGGTGTTTCTAAAATCCAGCTATATTTGGCAATACATCACTCTCTGTGTTACAGAGAAGTGATTACTTAAGGGATTTGGCAGAAATTAAATTAACTGAGGTCTTTAGAGAACATACGCAGAATGTCTTTTGTGAACGCACTCACTTCAAATGCTTTCTGTTGGAAAATAAAGTCATGTTATCTCCTGTTTCTGCGATGTGGACTTGACTGTATAGAACATTTGTATATTTACTCTTTTTCACATTTATGGAGCTTATCGCTTTCAAAAGCAAAACAAATGCTGAAGTGATAGACAGACTAATTTTCTAGGTTGCTTAGTAACTGAAGTGCATTGCTATAGTGTGAAAATACTCATACGATAAAGTAAAGGAATATTTACTGGAACAAACTGAAGATCGTGTGAAAGGGCACCGTATAAATAATTAAAGCATATGTTTTTATTTGCCTGTGTGAACAGAAGGATACCCTCGATCACAATGTTCTACATAGAAGAATTTTTTTAGTGAAAAGCTTTTTCACACTTTTACTTGCTAAAGTATGTTAATGCAGTAGGATGTGAATTCTTTGGCTCTCTAGCAAAAAAGTGTACCGCCGTGGGTTTTTGGACACTTCTTGAGATGGATCATTGGTCTTTTGGTACTTTTTTGAGTTTTGAGAGAAGGGTTCTTGTTCTGTGGTCCAAATTTAAGGTCTATTCTCCGAGTTACTAACAACAAAAACTTTAGATTCCTGGAGTGCTAGCACAGTAATAAAATGAGACTAGATTATGTGAGTTTATTAATTTTTTTTAAAGAAAATTGAAGACTTTGTAGTCTAAGTTAGTTTTCCTCCTTTTCCTTTAACCCATGTTTTTTATTTTTATTTAAGATTTCAGCAAAGCAATGTCTCAAGCTGGCAGTTCACAGTTTCAGGAAGTCATTCGACAAGAGCTGGAGTACTCCATGAAAGTAGAACTTGATAAGATACTTGCGACTGCACCCTCAAATGAGCTAGAGGTAAGGAGCATGATGTGGATGCAACTCAAAGCATGAGAAATTAGATGCAGGAAATTGAGGCCAATTTTATACAGGGAGACAAATCACACAATACCACGATCCTTATTTTTAGGACGTGCTCTGATCCTCTGGAAGAGTAGCCTGGATACAATGTTAGTAGGAGACTTTCAGTTCCATGTAAACTGGGTGACAGAGTTATTAAGTGTTTAATCATCTTTAGTTATTAAAGGTTCTATGTAATCTTTAATGGATTGCAGAAAGGGAGGGTAAAGCTGTTATCCTAAAGATTGGGCCAAATTGTAATGGCTGTGATTTTGACTAAAGACTTGTCTTTTAGGTATCCAAGTTGTTTTTGTACCTTGAGTTTTGGTGGAAATGAGCTTTTGGTACCTTTTAGAATTCTACTTAAATTTTAGCATGTCTCTACTTCAGTGCTGATAAAATTACTCGTGTGAATAGGTTGTACTTCAAGTTTGTCAAAATGCTTCTGTGATTGAATAGGTATGTGTTAAATACCAGCATTAACTAATGCATTATTTCTTTGTAGCACACTAAAAAGGACCTGGAAGGATTTAAGAAGCTATTTCATAGATTCCTACAAGAAAAGGGACCATCTGTGGACTGGGGGAAGATTCAGAGACCTCCAGAAGATTCTGTAAGTTGCGATGAAGTGACAGTCTGTAGGGAACATAAAACTGATAATTGCTACTTGTAGCAAATGATGTAGTCGCCCATAGAATGGATATAATTGCCACGGTTCTGTAAAATCACGTAGGACAACACTTTGGGTTCTAACTGAAAAATAACTATTTATTGACATATGTTGTATGTATTCCCAAACATCAGGTCCTGCTTAACATACGTATCGAGTTCTTTGGTGTTATTTTGTTAGCTGTTCTTTGAGCAAGTGAACAAAATGGGACAGATGCCATCTTACCATTTGATACCTTCTCTGGAGTAAATGGTAGCTTGTGTTAGAGGGGAAGTAGGTAGGACCCTTGTTGTTCCCCTTTCCCTCCTGCCTGTGAAAGAAGGTTGTGCATCTCAAATGAGACTGTTTCCAGCAATCCATTCTGCTAAATAATTTGAAAGGGACATATGGCAAGTGGGCTGGGTTATATAGCTCATTTAGCAACTTCTGTAATCTACAGCAGCTCAGTAAAAGCGAGGAATCTGAAAGAAGTTGACTGGGGGGGGGGGGGGCGGTCAAATTTTTTCTAATGTCAGATGTTGTTATAACTTACAACCTGCCACTTGAGTTGCTGCTGAAAAAGCACTAAATGTTTTTTTCAGCACTGTTTAGTACTGAAATAAACACTTCCTATTAAACCTAACCTCATTTTATTGATTCATCTGTGGCCCTAGGCTGTCTTTTGACTCTTGCATAACTAACGGTGTAGTTGTGCTACTAATTCTTGCTTTTCCCGGCGTAGCGATCTTGGCATATTGCGGGTCTTCTGTGTCCTCACACGTTTTTGGTTTCTCTTAGCCTCTCTGTGGTGATTCAATCGAGGCTCTGTTTCCAACTGAAAGGCAGGCTGTCCAGTTACTTCCAGAACAGATGCAGTGCTGCTCTAAAGCGTTGGAAGAATGATGCTGTTTTAGAGCAAGTCTAGGGTTTTTCCAAGGTTGAGTGTTTTCTTTTAACTTCAAAAACATGTGATGTCTCTCTCTTCTGTACTGTAACACTGAATGAAGTGTTGCTTTGGGGAGGAAAATCCACCTTCAATAAAGAGGCTAAGGTGAGAAATTGGAGTTCTAGATAACATGACTTACAAGGAAGACTGAAGAAAAGGGGGCTGCTTTTAGTCTAGAGGGGGTGAGACTCTGGGGAGTGATAAGCCTTTTAAATATCTAAAAAGGTAGTTGCGACAATGAAAGGAATAAACTGTTCTCTGTGTCAAGATAAAGTCTGGGATTAAATGACAGCAATTTGATGCGAGTGAATGGGCTGCTTTGTGGCGAGGGAGAGCTATTGTCTATTTTTAAAGTTTTGCACACCTTCAGCGGAAAAACTTTCAAGTTCTATAAAGGACTGAAATTTACTGGGTAGGACATTGAGAGCAAATGTCAGACAGGAGGGTTATAAGACACTGAAATAGACTGATGGGAAATACCCAGGCAAGGCAAGCTCTCTTAAAAAAAAGAAGTTAGACTAAGGTCTAACTTAAGGTCACAGAGGGCTGAAAGGAGGGCAAGATTAGAAAGAGTATCTCTCTTCTTCCTTATGGCCTGTGCTGGCTGATTCTCATCTGTGTCCCTTAGCTATGTAGCAACTTACGACCAAAAAGAAGAAAAAAAACCAAAACCAAACCCAAAATGGTAAAACTCCTGCAAAAGTGGGTCACTTTGGCTTAGGGGAGATGCATGCATGATCTTGGAGGAAATTTTGCTTCCTAGCATGAACTCCAAATCAAATAATCATACTTGATAAATGTCACAGAAGAAAGCTAGGGAAAAATACCCACAAACGAAGGTCCTTCCGTCCCCCTTTCACTTCTCTTGCTTTAGGATTCCTTGGATAAGGTGATACTTGGAGACTTCCTGATCTGACAGGAGGCAGGTTGAGCGCTCTCAAAAACTGAGAGCAAACTTAACTTTCTTGAGTATTTTTTTTCTTTTCTTTTTTTGCTGACCATAAGACTTCCATTTTCCTGCCAACCTCAAGCCCTGCTTGTATTTATCCTGCCTCCACCACCTTTTTAATACGTCAGTCATGTAGGGATCATACCGTGGAAGGTGTCTTCCATGAAACATTTTTCAGGTGACCTGCAGTATAACTTCTCACAGATTATTCTTTGCTGAGGGGTATGAGTTGTGGAATTATTAGATAAAAATTGATTTATTCAAGACCAGAATTCCAGAATTATCAGTGTAACTATTATAGGTAAGAACAGTAGAAGCTTTTAGAAGGGGTAAAGAGTGATAATTTTAGAAGGGCTTCAGAATAAAGACTGCAGTACTGAGTTCTTTGGAACAGGTATCCATCTGTGAATATATGCAGGTTTTCTCTGAGTGCTTTTGTTCAGCTCTAACTGAGTTTTTTCTTTTCCTAGCTAGAAAAACTCAGTGTACTCTCCTCCTGGTCTTGTTAGAACAGCACAGAGGATGGTACACACAAGACTCATTTAGAAAGTTGGTTGATAATCTTGTAAGTGATGTATAATTGCCTGGTCAGACACGTCCTTGTTTTATGAGGTGGTGGGTTGCTCGGCTGCTTTTGAGAATCTTGCACTACAAGTATCATGGCCTAAAAAGCAACAAGCTGCTCTCCCCGATGTGAATTTATTTGCCTGTGACTGTTTTGGAGAATTGGTTTGCTGCTTGATCAGTCCAAAGCACTGAATTCTGGCATGTGTAATCTTCAGCTGATACCTAGTAGAGCTCAAAGTATGTGTTTAGGTATATATGTGTGTGTATATACAGACATACACATGTGTGTGTATATCTATAAAAAAATAAAAGCACCCAAAAAATGTGCCAAGTGTGAGGTTGTTGGGGGTTTTTTGTTTATTTTTAACAGCTTAAAAAAGTTCATTAGTAGTTTATTGCATTTATAGTCTTTGTCTTTTAATTTTCTATTTTACATAAGCTACTTCTGTCTTTCAGATTAGGTCGGAAAGGTGTTTCAGGCTTTTGCCCAATGTCATGGGACTGTGCTACGCAGGAGCAGCATTTCTGATCAGACTTCCATGGGTCATCTAATGTGTTATCCATTGTACTTGTTCTTTGAATATAGTTTTCTCTTCTTTCCTGAAGCATCTACTGACAAGTAAAGGCTCCTGTCAGTAAATTGAAACAGAAATGATTGTCTTGTAATACTCCTCCATTTTTCTCTGCAACGGGAGATTTCATCCCCGACCTCCATGTTTTCAGTGTAACAACAAGTACCGATGGGCAAGCAAATTGTAAGCTCCAGACAACGATAAGAGAAGATTGAATCCATTTCACGCTATATTGGTAGACTTCTGACTTGTGTTTTCCTTCCAGATGCTTTGCTTCCATGTGTCCAAAGGCTTACAGTGATATCTGGCATAGTTAGGGCCCATTACTGTTACAGTCTTCAGAGAAGAAAGTGTACTTAGTCAGAGTGCTGGTTAACAAAGAGGAGGTAAAGAATGTGGATATGGCACATGTAATTTAATTGTGTTGATGTAGATTGCAGTGATCTGTTTGTTTGAGTTGGAAGCAATAGCAAAGTCCTGCTGGGAGGCCTCCAAGGGAACTGCAGTGATCAAGCTAACCTCAGAGCAGTGATGCAAAACCTCATCTAGGATTTAAAGAGAGCATCGAAAGCAATGTGAGTGTGAAAGGAGCTTATCTATTAGAGGTTTTGTTGCCCCAGATTCTTGTCTGCAGCTCAAGTTGTCATCTCAATGAACCATATCGTGAAGGAAAAGAATGAAAAGATGCAAAACATCTTCCTAATCTTCAATTCTGGAAACAGGTTTTAAGGGTTGACTTGGTGCCATTTCTAAAACTGTCCCTTGGTGCTGAGTAAATATTTCCTTGTTGTTCTGTAAGTATGTATTGACTAATATGGGTGTATTCCTTTCCAGTCTCCCATGATGACAGCCCTGATACTCATTTTGTCTGTCTGTGACAAGCTCTTCCAAACTTCCTTGCAGTAGGAGTATGCCGAAATCTGTTAGTCAAACTCCCAACATTGCCTCATGCAAAACTGTTCTGAAAATCACTTCTGTGACATTGTCTGCAAAACCAAAAGAAGCTAGATATGTCATCTTAGTACAATCCCAAACCACAGTTTTGAGACATGTCTCAAATGAGTAACACTGTAGTTATGCATCTGTAAGCCATGTCATTCCTGCCTGTTTTTGTTCCTGAAGTATTTCCCCATCAGCACTTACTTGTCAAGTCCGCTGTTCCAAACCCTTAGATCAAGAATTGATTTTTACTGTGTAGCACTTCTTACACTTGTGTATACACTCATAGGTGATGAGGTAGTTCGGCATATTAGTGCCTACACATGACAGGAACTGCTAGATGATAGCACTGGCATCTGGCAGTCCTGGTGCTGCAGGGATCCTGCTTGAATTTGAGTTCTTGACATTTGTTATTCTCTGAATTAAAGACGCTTCAAGATCCAGGGCTTCATTGCTAAGTTGTCATTTCCAATGCCTATGCCAAAAGAAACTGAAATATTTAGCGAGGTGAAGTTTTATAAATTTTGTGTTTTAGCTGATGCAACATCCAATGAGCTAAATCCTTGATGGAGGGCCTGGATGGAACTTTTAACTTCATCAGGATTTTACTCTGAGCTGCATAAGCTAGTTTCAGACATGATAGTGAAGGCATAAAAAGGTAGCTGGCACTTCAGCAGAAGCAAATGATTTTGAGGCAGTCTGCCTCTGAACTGAGTGGCAGACTTTTTTCTTTTTGGAGAGCTATATTGTGAGTGATGCAAGAAGAACGTAGTGAGACTTGAAAGTTGAAATAATTTTTTTGGCTATTCAGATGGCATCTGAACATTGTGGGTGTGACTCACATCCCACCCAGCTAAAGCTCAAACCTAAATGTTTTAAATCCATTTGCAGTCTAATACAGAGTGGTATTGACCTTAGAGTGGACAGGAAGTGATGGCAAGGAGTAAGGATCTAGTCATATTTCTCTCCCGAACTGTACCCAGCACCAAGT